TTAACACAAGGCCATCTGCATATTTCGCAGTTTGAATAATTTGCCCTCCTAATTTGAAGTCTCCAAGCTCGTCCAGAGCTTCTTTGGTAAGGTACTCGCTGTACAAGTTGAACAAAATTGGTGATAAGCAGCATCCTTGTCGAACTCCTCTTCCAATCTTCACACTTCTTGTCTCCCCTCTGTCCAGTCGCACTCTAACTTTCTGATCCATGTGCAATTTACTAATCAAATCTTTCACGCCAATCAATACCTGTTTCCTTTAGGATCTGCATTAATTTGGTCCAATTTACACGGTCAAATGCCTTCTGCCAGTCTAAAGCAAGCACACAGTTCTTCAACCATCTCCAACGTTTGTTCTGCTATAATTCTCATCATCCCAATTACATCCCTGGTTCCTTTTCCTCTTCTAAATCCAAACTGATCCTCTCCAAGTATATCCTCTATTTTCCTTTTGATTCTTCTTTTAAGTATCTTTGCTACTATCATTGCTGTATGTGCAATAAGGCTTATTGTGTGATGGTCGCTGCATTTTGTAGCTTTTGTCTTTTTCTTTAAGGCAATCATTATCACTTCTGAAAAATCCTTGGGCCAGTCCCCAGTTTCATATATGGTGTTTATTAGTTTTGTCAGTGTTTTCAAACCACCTTCTCCCAGTAACTTNTCTGATGCCTACCCTTTGACCTGTCCAGCAAGGGAGGCTCTGCCAGTAGCTACGCTACCACTGGTATAGCTCTCAGGGTCCTTGGCATACTCAAACCCCCTCACCACGATAAGGTGGAGACACCAACGAGGGGGAGTGTAAATTACCTGAATAAAATGCATTAAAATTTACACGCTTATGAGTAATTATATTGATGATATTCATTCATGGAATAAATAGAATTGTGATATAAAAACCTTTTCAGTGCAGATTTAAAACTTCTCTAATCAGTACCCAACATTTTTATTGGTTGAGGAAGATGACTAAAAACTTTAATACCTGATATGTACGCACCTTTATTGTATTTTGTTAGGTTAACTGCAGGTGAATATAAATTATTTAGAGCTCTAGTTTTGTATTTGTGAATCTCATTGTTGAAATTAAATAAATGTTTATTATTGTATACAAAAGTTATGAATATATGTACTGAGAGTAGAGTATTAGTATTTCCAAATTCTTAAAAATGTCACTACAAGACTCTCTTGGTCTAGAATTCATTATAATTCTGATAACTTTCTTTTGCAATATGAAAACTTTGTTAACATGAGGAACCACCCCCAAAAATTATGCCATAACTTATGATAGAATGTATATGAGCAAAATAAATTTGCTTTAACATATATAAAGGTATAATATATTTTATATTTCTCAATGCATAATATGTAGTGGATATTAGAAATATATGTGAAGTGTAAAAGTCTTGTAATGGTATTTTAATACGTCTTCGGTGTAGCTTAAAGAAGATCTGTAGGATCTCGAGCTCTTGAGTGTTCTGTGATTGTGTTATAATTTCTTTATTGTTTCTTGCAGGAAAAACGGGGAGAACTAAGTTCTGCGCTGTCACTAGTTGCTCGTCATTTATTAGGCAGAGAAGTTTAAAATTTGTGATGCTGTGCGGTGCAAACAGCCGGATCTGTGGGCAGCAAAAACCTGGCAGCTCCATCATGACAATGCACCCGCCCGTTCTGTGCATCTGATTCAGACTTTCGTCGCCAAACACAACATCCCTCTGCGTGCATTACCAAGGTACTACCAAGGGTAGTACTGAAAGTCATGAGCAACGATTTAATTTAAAGTAACATGCTTATTATTGACAAACCAAATACACTATCTCAATCTACAGACCTTTCTTTATTTTTCCACATAATGGCCACTTCTTTGTACGCATTTCTCCCAGCGTTCTCAGAGGTTGAAAATTCCCCTTCTGTAAAATTCCATTCCAGCCATCTGAAGACACTGACACACTGCTTTCTGAATTGCCTCCCTTGTCTCAAAACGTTGTCCATGCAGCTGATCCTTCACAAATCCGAAAAGATGGTAGTTGGAGGGTGCCAGACCAGGGCTATAAGGAGGGGTGTGGAAGAACTTACCACCCCATCTTTGCAATTGCTTCAAGTGTGAGGCGAGCAGCGTGGGGGCAAGCATTGTCATGCAGGATGATGTTTCGTCCCAGACGTTTATCGCGCACTGCAAGACGGAGCTTGTGCAGTGTCTGGACATAACGCGCAGCATTGATGGTTTGCCCAGGTTCCAGGAATTTGGCCGGAATAAACCCCTCTGCATCCCAGAAGACTGTGCCCATCACCTTCGCAGCTGATGGCACTGTGTTTGCTTTCTTTTTTGATGGAGAATGCAAATGGTGCCATTCCACACACTGCCCTTTCCTTTCAGGCTCGAAATGGTGAAACCAGCTTTCATCACCTGTCACAATAGAGAGCAAAAAATTATCGCCTTTGTGTCGATATCTCTGCTGCAGTTCTGAGGTCATGGCTTTTCGCTGACCTTTGTGGTCTTCGGTTAATAACTGCGGGACCCAACGAGCACAAACTTTCCTATAGCCCAGGCTTTCAATCATCTCCTGCATTGCACTGTGCCCTATTCCAAGTTCTTAGGCTATTGTGTCACAGTCTCACGCCTGTCATCTTCAATGATCTCATCCACTCTTTCCTTGTTGCGTTCAGTTGAAGCTGTTTGAGGACGACCGCTCCGAGGCTCATTTTCGATGCTGGTGTTCCCATCTTTAAAATGTTTCACCCATCTTCAAACACAGCTCGCACCCATGCACACACTTCCATAAGCACGCTGAAGTCTCTGGTGAATTTCTGCAGCAGGGATTTCCTCTTTTACAAGAAATTTGATGACAGCATGCTGGCGAAACGACATATCGTTGTAGGCCATTTTGTTAGGAGTGATACTGGTCACGTGATGCAAGCTATTGATGTCACAAGACTCAAGGTTAACACAACAGTTGGTTCCACCTGCCACCATACCCTCTTTCGTCTGCTGTTCCCAGGTTGCATGCAAAAAAAGTTGCTCATGACTTTCGGTATGACCTAGATATATAATATATAGGAAGCATGTCAAACATCAACACAACAAATATACTCAGTTTAATATTCGATCTTTATTGTTGCTACACGTTTCGGTCGTACAAGACAATCATCAGGCAGTTATACACAGGAATATGTACAGTAATTGAAATACTGATATGGATCCATATCAGTGCAATGTGTCATATTATAAACCTAACATAAAACTCTTGCTTCAAGTTTGGTGTTGTAATTAAAGTAAGAAATACATAAATAAGATAAAAGATAAGGTATACCATATATCAGGATTTATAATGTCTTGAATATATTATTAAAAAATACTAAAAGTATTTTTAAAAATGTTAAAAAAATTATGTATGGTTTGTTTCACTGCTACAGTATAGAAAAATTGGGTATGTATGTTGTTTGTAGGTCTTTGTTGTAGACGCTTTCTATGTAGTAAGCCTGGTTGTGGAGCCTAAAGACAAGTTTCCATGATGTACGTGTTGTTAGTGTGTGATATATTGGTATGCTATTCCCACAATATGTATCTTTGTATAATACATTCTGCTGGAATTTGATCACTACTTGGCAATTTATACCTTTTTAATTTTGCAGTAGCACTTTCAACCTCAAAAGGGCTAGGATCAGGTACTAACAGCTGAACCGTGCAACGGTTCTTCTCCGTGAAGTTCCTTGGAGTCCCCCCCCCNACTAGTTTCGTTTATGTTGAATTGATCTTGTGAAATTCTGTTTCGGCCTGTGCAGTGTCTGAAGGGGGAAGAGTGCCCTCACGACGTGATCAAGGTTGCGTCAAGTCGTGAGGTTAATCTTGTGTTTGTAATTTTGGAAACGCCAGTAAGAGACTTACTGTTGTAGATGGTTTCCTTTTCATCACGACGCCATGTGGCGTAAGTTAGTTAATTTGCTTGGAGTTGAGTTGGCTTAAACAGCCGATCGCCCCTCAGGCGTGCAAGTAACCTGTGTATATTTTCTTGTGTCCTTAAGGCTTGCCGAAGTACAGGTTTTTTTCCTAGAGAAGTTGAAAGATGCCATGAGGCGTGCCAATACTTGAGTCTGTGCGGCTAGGCACAGAGTAGTTCTGCATCAACTGTCTATTATGTTTTGACCAGTCCCTGCCCATCAGGCAGAGTACACCTGTATACTCATGTTATCAAGGAAACGCCAGTTGTATTTGTGTATATTTGGGTTGTGTATTCCCTACCAGTTCGGACTAGCAGATCCGTCCAGCTTGGCCCATAGTGCCGACAGTGGTTTTCCTCTCCCGAGATCCCCTACTTGACCTTGGGGAGGCATAGTACATCACGTACAAGCAAGTCGTTCTTATGAGCCTGTCCCTTACCCATACCCATATTGAACAGGCGTTCAAGGGTCTAAGTGGGTAGGAGAACTGGGTTCTTGACCCACAGGGTCAAGGGACACGGCTCACAGCTCAGCTGTATGTATTTCTATCTGCCTAACATCACTGACCCTAAGTACATTCAGTAACTGAGGGAAGTAGTTCTTCCACCTATTCAGAATGTGTGAATCTGCCAAGACTTGAATATGAGGAATAATGTAACCAATGTACAATCTTTTTATAATGGCAGTCCGTTGTAAAGTAATGTGTTATTTTCCAGTTAAAAGAATTAAGGTAATCCACCAAGTAAGGAAGCACACTAACTTCACATTTTTTTGTTCATTCAGGAGGGTGCTGCAGTGAATACCTGGCAACCGCTGTGTTTGTTGAGCAGATTGACAACCACTCTGATAGTTTCAGTGGGAAGGGACCAAAGGAGACAACTGCATTGTCCACTCAGTGATAACAGTCCCCATATAGAGCACTGGGAAAAGGCAAATATGGGGATGAATGGTTGGATCTTCCTCAAGGATGGTAAACCTGCCTTTCTTCATCGTCCTCCACAGACTATTTGGCTTATTGACTTTTCTGCTACCCAACACATGTGGAGAACTGTGAAAGAGTCGTGTTTCAAGTAGGATATATGTGTACCTTCACACCCAGAACCTGACTCAGAATCCCGAGAACAAATTTGGGCCATTCGTACTGTGTTTCAAGCAATAAGTGGGTCAGTTTGTAGATGCACTGAAGACTAGCGACATCAGTGGCCTTTGTTTTAGAGGTCTGGGTGAAACTAATTGTTAATAATTGTGAGGATGATGGTGCTACTCATCTGGATAACTGGCAGTCATTGTTCCGGGCACCTGATGCTTCTTCACAAAATCCTTCCACAAGTCATGGCAAGGAAACCCCTGATGATGTTCCTGAGACATTCCATGTTTCTCAGCAAGTACAGAAGGACATGAGTCCTGCAGTATCTGCTAGTGACATGGAAATGTTCTCAGTAGCCTATGTCAGTGGTTCCATTGCCAGACAGGTGCTTTGTGGTGTCACCTGTGATGTGTCACCTGACATCTGAAGTGCTGCTATCAGCCAATGTCTTCATATATTTCAAGGAGTGCAGTGATACAGAACAGTCTCTCACCTATCCTTCTGAGAAGCTAGTGGAGGCTGTTGGTATTGCTGTAACTCTGATGGAGTGTATAATGGCAGAGGCTGCCCACTTGAATTCAGTGGAGCAGCATATCACAGCTGCCATGAAGAGCACCCTTGACTTCGAGCGGATTAGGTGTATTGGCTGTTCACTTCACCACCAATGAATAGTAGATTGTATTGTGAGATGTCTCACAAGAATTTACATTCCTTGGTGGTATAAGCGAAGAAACAGGTTGATGGCTGAAGCAGCCAGGCAGAGGGCCAAAGAGAGGAAGATGAAGATACTGTCTCATCAGTAAGTCAGGAAAGCAATGCTTCTTCATTTTTCCCTTATAATGTCCTGCCCATACCAACCCTGGAAATTGACAGAGAGCAGTTATGAAATTACTGGAAGAATATTTGGGAACTAGATCAGATGTTTCATAAGTTGGAGAAAGTAACACTGGTGACAAGCAGCTGCAGTGGAGCAACAGAAATTACCAAGTAATCACATGCACTTGCCTTAGAGCTGTGGTATTGAGTACGTTGTTGACAACATCAGCATCAACCTTCATGGATTACATACGAGGAGCCTATTATGAACTTGAGCTACACCTCTTCCCTGCTTTGCAGAAGGTTCTTTTGTCTCAGTATATTAGAATTCTGCCGTCAGAAAACGGTCAGATTTAATTCTGCCCTTTATCTGCAAGGAAGTATATTTTGATGGAGAATTATGGGAAAAGTTATTTTCTGACACATGGTTCTTGTGTATATGTAGGTAAACATGAAACGGTGTTACTTTATAACTGATTTGCAGTATTCAGGTTACCTGTTTCAGCTTTAAACTCCGAGGAACAGAATCATTATCAGGATTCACTATGGGTAGGACATTTTAGATATACTACTGTTTTAGATAATTATTTACCTATTTCATTATTTTCGGTATATTCTTCCGTTTTATTGTAACATATATTTCTAATTTTTGCAATTTGATCCTGTCCATTCCTGTAGTGGAAGATGAATATCAGATTTCCAGTATTCTGTAAGGTGTGTTATATTTGCCATTTAATCTTGTCAATTAGTGTAAGGGGAGATAAATATCACATTTCCAGTATCTGTAAAATATTTTGTCATTTCAGATTTTCATTATTCATTATAATTCTATAAGATATTTTTACTGTATATTCTAGTTTAGTACTGGTGAAGTTAAATGTATCACATTTTCATACATCATTAAATGTAATCTTGTTGACAAGTGTGTATTTCAGATTCTCAAGTTCCATCATTCTACTGAAAGTAATAATTGTATTCCTCGGTATTATTGCTTGATATACATGATTTATAATACATTAATATAACCGAAAAACTGTTCTGTGTGGCTTTCAAGTGTAATTTGGGGCCAAACTTATGGGGTTAAATAAAAGTATCTCTGAAGGAAACAGAATATTCTTTCAAGTTTCCCCACTTTAAAAAAATCAACCCCTGTAACAGGCCGTGAAGGCCCATAGGGTTGTGAGATGAGGGTAATCGGTTCAAAGGTTGTCAGTGTAACGCACCAGCCACGCTTTACTCCCCAGGAAAATTATTTAATTCCTGCTAACCATTTCTCTTAGAGGATGAGTAAACCCCAGGGCGTAGTGCGGCTGGAAGGATTAGGTTAACTGAAAACATTCCAATGACCTCATTGGGACTTGAAGTCGCGACCTTCCGGCTTGTAGCATAGCCCCCCCCCCATCACTACGCTACTGCGTCCCCCACCTGTAGCTTTCCAAAACACGAGTATTCTGTGTAATGGTTCACAGGGTCCAGTGCATTTGGGTAAGGTGGTGGTGGTGGTGGTTTGATGTAAATGAAATGAGCTGACTACAGGCACTGGTGAGAAACTATCCTGAAGAATAGTTTTGCAATTCTGACCTTTTGAACTTCAGAGGTTCCTACGGGCCCACGTGGCGTGTTACAGGGATAATTTTACCTTTGTTGTAAACAACAGTTGCAAAGTTTTGGCGTTTNNNGCGTTTGGGGGGGGGGCAGAATGAGTGGATGATGGCATGGCAGTATGCCGTTTTACCGAACGTATTTTCGGAGCTGGTCAGGTTGCTTCGTTTTTTAAAACAAGTTTAATATCGCTTCATTCATATCTTTTCCAGTCGATATGTGTGAAGTGATATTGAACCCAGTTCTAAAAGAAATGACGGAGTAAGAGCCTCTGGAATACAAACGGTCAGCACTGGAAAATTACATATTGCTATTATTGTGAATCTCGGGGGGGGGGACGAGGATGAAAAGTAGGTGGTATAATATCATGCCGTTTTACCGATCGGGTTCTCGGAGGTGGTGGCCATTTTGTGTTCAGTGGAAGACTGCATACAGATGGCAGCAGGTAGACCAGAGCAAGAATAGAGGGGAGAGGCATTCTTAATAGGTGGGCATTATAGCCCTTAAGCTTTGCGGTTGCTTTGCGAGTCGGGCATGGACTTGCGTGGCCTTGTGGACCTGACGTCATGTCCCGGAGGTTTCTTGAGGGAACAGATGAGAGGCTTCCGTGCTTGTCGAGACAAAACCCCACCTCTCTGTTCATATTATCGAGTTTGAGTTCAATCTCAATGCCCTCTTTCATGATGCGATATATATATCGGGTCTTAGTTGTGAGGATGGAGGGATTCTGAAGCTGAATGCGGTGTCCCACATCGATGCTGTGTTCAGCCACAGATGTTCGAGACGGATGTACCGCTGATGCTCCTTCAAACTCGTGTCCACGGAACGGCCCGTCTGCCCAATATAGACTGGACTCAAGACCATCCCCGTGAAACTCCCATGTATCTGTGGGCAAAATGTCCGCCATGACACCTCGGTGTAATGCTACGGCCATCTCTACACATCCTACATTAACTAAATTTAAAATGGCCGACAGGGCCTAGAGCACAATCGGTAAGAAGGTATGCTAACGTAGCAACTATTTTGAGTGCCCCCCCCCCCGACCCCCCCCCCCCAATGCTTTGTTAGCTAGTAGCAATAAATACTTTTACAACCAGATCTCTTGTACTGCAGAGGTTTTTCCCCAAACCTATTTCTATTTTTGAACTGTGTTCAGTATCAGTAGTCAAGGAGGATGAGGTTGGCAGGGCATGTAGCACGAATGGGGGAGGCGAGGAATGCATATAGGATATTGGTTGGAAAGCCAGGAGGAAAGAGACCACTGGGAAGACCAAGATGTAGGTGGGTCAACAATATTAAAATGTATCCTAGTGAGATAGGGTGGTATGGTATGGATTGGACTGATCTGGCTCAGGATAGGGACCAGTGGAGGGCTCTTGTGAACACAGTAAAGAATCTTCGGGTTCCATAAAAGGCTGGAAAATTCTTGAGTGCCTGCACAATTGGTGGCTTCTCAAGAAGGGCCCAGCTCCATAAGTAAGTTTAGTATCACTTCGACTATATACTTTGGGTTGGATTTGAGTGAAGTGCTATTTAACTTGGACCCCCACCCCCTTTCCAAAAAAAATAACAACGGAATAAGAGCCTCTGCAGCTCTGGAGTACAAGAGATTAGGTTGCAAATTATTTACCTGGAGAAAGGTTCTCACCAGTGCCTGGAAAGTTATAACCTTTCTTTCATATGAAACACTTCTTTAACTGAAGGCATTGAACATTGTGAACTGTTACATACATGGAATACTTGTATTTAGGAAAGCTGAAGGTGGAGAAACTTGAAAGAAAATTCTGATTCCATCAGAGATACATATATTAACCTCATAATTTCTTCATAACTTACACTTGAAAGCCATACCAAACATAAGAAGAAAGCAGTCTTCTGGGATTTGGCACCGTGTATATGTGGTGTTAACCGACGTTTCGGAGGAACGTATCGCCTCCATCTTCAGGGTAGAAGAAAACATATAAGAATTCTGCAAGCGATGAACTGCATCCAGGAAATATGAACAGAGAGGGGGGGGGTTTGTCTCAGCAAGTCTTGGAAACCTCTCATCTGTTCTCTTAAAAAACCCCCACCAGGCTATGACGCCAGATCCAGAAGGCCACACAGACCATGAGCAACCAACATAACAACCCACCCCCTCAGCTTACGGGTTGTGCCCAGCCTTTAACCTTGCTTTCTCTCCCCTACACAAAAACCACGCTTGTCCCAGCTCCCTTTCCCCTACCCCTCCCACACTACTGGTTTCTCTTGTATACTTGCCCTTCCCCCTTCACCCTCACTGCTCTCACATAGCTGTGTATATCCCCACACAGTCTGCTTTTACCGGTTCTCACGGTCTCTTCGCTGGCAGAATTCTTATATTTTTTCTTCTACCCTGAAGATGGAGGCGATACGTTCCTCCGAAACGTCGGTTAACACCACATATACACGGTGCCAAATCCCAGAAGACTGCTTTCTTCATAGTCACCGCCATGAAAGCCTCAAATCTTACATACCAAACATAGTTTTACGGTTACATTTAAGTATTATAAATCATGTATTGTAAGCAACAATAGTCATGTTCCCATTTATTATTATTTTCATTAGAATGAGAGAATTCGATAATGTGAAATACACTCTTGTCAACAAGATTAAGACTGCATTTAAAGATATAAGAAAATCTGATATATTCATCTTCACCAGTTCAGTACTGGGCAGAATAATATGGCAGAAATAATAATATATCTTAAAGAAAAGTTTGGTATCTATTCATATTCCAATTCAGTAATGGAAAGGATTATATAGAGTAAGTAACATAACTTAAAATAAAATGTAAAGAATACAGAAATTCTGATATCTATTCATATTCCAGTTCAGTAATGGAAAGGTTTATGTGGCAAAAGTAGCATAGCTTACAAAAAAATGTAATGAATACTGAAAGTCTGGTATCTGTTCATCTTCCATTTCAGTATTGGATACAATTATATAGCAAAAATTAATAATATATGTTAAAGAAATGCAATAACTATTGAAAATCTTATGTTTATGTTCACCAGTCCAGTACAGGTAGGATTATATGGCAAAAGTAACATATCTTACAAAAAAATGTAATGAATACTGAAAATCTGGTATCTGTTCTTATACCGGTTCAGTAATGGAAAGGTTTATATGGCAAAAGTAACATATCTTACAAAAAAATGTAATGAATACTGAAAATCTGGTATCTGTTCTTATACCGGTTCAGTAATGGAAAGGTTTATATGGCAAAAGTAACATATCTTACAAAAAATGTAATGCATACTGAAAATCTAGTATCTATTCATATACTGGTTCATTAATGGAAAGGTTTGTATGGCAAAAGTAACATATCTTACAAAAAAATGAAATGAATACTGAAAATCTGGTATCGATTCGTCTTCCAGTTCAGTATTGGATACAATTATATAGCAAAAATTAATAATATATGTTAAAGAAATGCAGTTAGTATTGAAAATCTTATGTTCATGTTCACTAGTCCAGTATAGGTAGCATTATATGGCAAAAGTAAGAGAAGGAATACACCTATAACAACAAAAGTGAATAACAATGTAACGAAAATGAAAGAGGTAAAGAAATTACATAAATAGTCCTACCCACATTCAATCCTGGTACTGATTCTGTTCCAAGTTTCACACTGACTCGAAGTCAAGGGTGCTCTTGATGGCAGCTGTGATATGCTGCTCAACTGAATTCAAGTGGGCAGCCTCTGTCATTATAGACTCCATCAGAGTTACAGCAGTACCAACAGTCGTCACAAGCTTCTCAGAAGGATATGTAAGAGACTGTTCTGTATCACTGCACTCCTTGAAATATATGAAGACACTCTCTGATAGCAGCACTTCAGATGTCAGGCATGTCTTGCATGCATCACGGCTGACACAGCGAAGCACCTGTCTGGTAATGGAACCACTGACAAAGGCTACTGAGAACATTTCCATGTCACTAGCAGATACTGCAGGACTCATGTCCATCTGTACTTGCTGAGCAACATGGAAACTCTCAGGCACACCAGCAGGGGTTTCCTTGTCATGACTTGTGGAAGGATTTCGTGAAGTAGCTTCAGGTGACCTGAAAAGCGATTGTAAATTATCCAGAAGAGTAGTACCATCATCCTCACAATTAGTTTCTAAATGCAAGGCCATTGATGATGCTAGTCTTCAGGGCATCTACAAACTGTCGCACAGTTGGGTTATTTTTAGAACCACATTTCAAACGAATAACCCCAAATGAGTTCTATAGGGGATCCTGATTCAGGTTTTGTGTGTGAAGGTACTTAAAACCCTTCTCTTTCAGTGTCCT